TTGGATGTTGAATGGTCTGCGCTTGCTCGTGAATGGTCGCACGGCCGTCTGAAAATCCAGTCCACGTCATCCTCTGATATGGTCTTTTTGGCTTTAGTAGCTCCAGGTGGCTCCCAGCGGCCCGACATTTACGTTGCCCGGTGCTTGATCGAGTCCTCCAAGTCCCCTTGGCGAGAGGTCAGTCCTTATCGCCCATCAGAGGGCCTTGTAATATACTTACTCTTGCCTTGTAGGTTGTCGGCCACGCGCATGTAGGCTGACGCGCACTTCCAACCACCAGATAAGCCGTCGTGTCGCACATGAGGAACATCTGCATTGTCACGGCGCACAACTATAAGAGACATCTGCATTGCGTCTCGCCCCACCGACAGGGCGAGTCGAGATGACGTATACAGTGACCATCGTCATCGACCTTTCGGCACTGGCATTATTTTTCCTCCTCCTTAGCCTGCTCGAGAGCCAGCGCAAGCGCAAGGGTCTCCGCTATCCTCCCGGACCCTTTCCTCTCCCAATCGTCGGCAATCTGTTCGATATCCCAAGCGAGCGTTCTTGGCTTGTGTATACAGAATGGGGGAAGACATACGGTATGTTGTCATTCGATTAGCTTTGACTATTCTAACGGTCGATGGGCCACTCGCGCCGACAGGAGATATCACGTCCGCGCAAGTCTTCGGACATGTGCTAGTCGTCCTCAACTCTGCCAAGGCCGCTAGAGACCTTCTCGAGAAACGAGCAGCAATATACTCTGGGCGTCCAGCAATCCCGTTCTTTGACCTGCAGGTGATCTCCCCCCATCTTTACATCTCGGTTGCTGAGCAGAACCACAGGATGAGATGGAATCCGTGGTTCGTTCTCTCGAGTCCCATCACACCCATGTGGCGTCTCAGGCGCAAGATGCTCGACCGTGGGCTGAGGCCCAGCGCTGCTGTCCAGTTTCGCCCTATGCAGAAGGAGAAGGTTCACGACTTTCTGAAGCACCTGCTTTCGCAGCCCCAGAACTTCCGGCATCACATTGAATAGTCAGTCGGTGCTCGCCATGTCAATTCCGAGTGTGTGAGCTCACGAGATTTTACCCAGTCTGCAGGGGGCGATTATCATGTCGATTGTGTATGGATACGATGTTGAAGGATATAACGATGTGTACCTCAAGACCGCGCTTGCCGCCAATGCGATCGGTCAAGCGGGTGTTCTCCCCGGCAGTGTGTTAGTCAATGCCTTGTCGTTACGTGAGTTTATAATCGGTGTTTTACTGACTGAACCTCCAATGCGTGGTCGCTAAGAGTACCCTCATAGTGAAGTACCTGCCCGGATGGCTGCCGGGAATGGGATTCCAAACTCTGGCAAGAGAGGGCGAGAGGCTCGGTAACGACATGGTGAATCGTCCGTTTCAGCTCGTTAAAGACAATATGGTGTGTCGTCCTCGTCTTGGAAGCTCAAATATAGTCCTCACTTACTGTGCCATGTCTTCAGAGGCATGGTACGGCGCGGCCTTCTGTTACACAGATAAATTTACTTGAGCTCGAGAACATCTGCGACGCAGTCGAGTTCAAAAAGGGAGAACGCGCGATCGCAGAGGCCTCAGGTTCACTTTATCTGGGTGAGGAGGTTTGACCAGCTTTTTTTGGTGCGCTCTCACTTGTATTTCACGAACAGCGGGCGCCGATACCGTACGTTGCATCTTTGATCACACGGGTTGATTGCCTCGTTGAGTCAATACATCGACGCCAGACTTCCTCCGCGATTGGTTTTCTGTTCAACGCTCTCGCCTTGTATCCAGATGTGCAGCGGAAGGCCCAGGCCGAGATCGACGCCGTCACAGGCGGACGGAGGCTGCCTGCTTTTGAAGATAGATCACGACTGCCGTACGTAGAGGCCCTTTGCAAGGAAGTGTTGAGGTGGAGGATAGTGTCGCCTGCGGGTGCGTAAAATTCAGCAGTTCTAGTGTTTCCCGCTCCTTGACACACCATACCAGGTATGCCGCATATGGTGGTGCAGGATGATGTTCATGAGAGGTACTTCATACCGAAGGGTGCGTCTTTTCTACACCTGTATGACATGAGGCCTCTATCCTCTAGCGTAGGTGCCACTGTCATCTCAAACATATGGTCAGCACACTTGCCATCGTATGCATATTATGCTCTTGATATCTCACACTCCCACAGGGCAATATTGCACGACGCCCGGGTCTATCCTGACCCCGACGAGTTCAAACCAGAGCGCTTCTTGACCGCCGATGGACGGCCGTGCGACGATCCCGCTCTCGCACTGGTATTCGGTTTCGGCAAGAGGTAGTCATCTCATTCCGCCATCCCTCCTGGAGCTGATTCGCGTCCACACTGCCTAGGGTTTGTCCCGGCCGCCACATTGCAGGTGACACGCTATTCATCGTGGCTGCATCAATCCTGGCAACGTACACTATTGGTAAAGCCAAGGATGCGCAGGGGCACGACATTCCAGTTGGGAACTCGTATAGAGGCGCGATCACCAGGTATGATTTTGCGTGGGATATAGTATGCCGTATCCTGATGGAGTGAGATTGCAGTCATCCGGAGGAATTCAAGTGTTCGATTGTGCCGCGGTCGGGGAAGGCGGAGGAGCTGATTACGGGCAGCGGCGGAGATGAGCATGAGATGCATGTCTGGAGCGGGTGACAAACACCGTGACAATGGCGACTTTGATGCAATGTCTCGGTATAAACAACGAGTGTGGGGAATATGCATGTCATCAGTGGAACATCCACCACGCGTCGCGCTAATCAACACGACGCGTCTCGACGCG